TATTTCTTGAAAGATCGATGTGGTATTTGATTTGTAGGGTGGGTTGCACTATATGCTATCCTTATCAATTTGAAAGTCGAATGCCCGTTTTTCCTCACCGTACGGTTGTCTAAATATAGACTTATATTGTAAATTTTAGTTTAATACAAACTTAAATTAATTTATCTATCAGTTTGGGCTCAGTACAAGAAAATGATCAAATTCCAACGGAAAGTTCTAATACAAATATATTTTACTGGAATTCCAACAGAAATTTTAACAAAAATATTCCGTTGGAATGAGTTTTCCATTGGAATGAGTTTTCCATTGGAATTTCTGTTGGATTTTGAAGATTCCAACGGTAGATTTTCCAACGGAGATGGAAATAAAAATTCCAACGGAAATTCCTACGGTAAAAAATCGTTTGAATCATCAAATTCCATCTAAAATTCTAATAGAAAATTTATTCCAACCGAATATTTTCGTTGGAATTTCCGTTGGAATGATTCTAACGGAAGTTATACCATTGGAATATCCGTTGGAATTTTCGTTGAAATATATTATCGTAGGATTTCCTGTTAGAATATAACATTTTAGTGGCTAAATTATGGTTATCAAATATATGACATTTACCAGTTATAGACAACATCTTAACATGTGCTGAATGGCTGCTAAGAATGTAATAAAAAACAATCAAATATAAACAAAAACTGAAAAAAAAAATTGAATAACATAATCAAAATTTATGTTCCGCTAGTCTCATAGAGGGAAAAAAAATTTTCATCACGTTTTTTTATCTATTATTGTCTATGTTCGGATGTTTTTATTTATGAAGTTTGATATTTTTGTTACCGATACGGCTTATAAAAGTGTTTTTTATATTTTTCGCTATTTCAGTTTTTATTTATATTCAGATATTTTTTATTTATTTTCTTGACAAATGTTAACATATTATTAGATTTATAGAATGAGGGAATAGTGTGCGGTCCCACCAGATGAAGCGCACCATAAGAGGGTGAGAGTCTAGCTGCACCATAGTGAGGTTCCATCTCAAAACCAATGAGTGATAAGAAGAGTAGCCCACTAGGCTTGTATACTAGGCTCATTTTCTCTATAGATTCAATGTGAGACAACTAACGACTGATATATATTAAGGCTATGTTTGGTAAAACTAGCTGATAGCTGATAAGCTAGCTTATAGCTTATCAGTAATTTTCGAGCTTATAACTTATAGCTTATGACTTATAGTTGAAAAACTAGCTTATATAATAAAAGTGTTTGGTAAAATTAGCTGATAAACTAGCTGAAATAAAAATTTTAACAGGCTTATTTGAAAAGCTACCCAAAGAAGCTTATCAAATAAGCTCGAGCTTTTTAAATAAGTTCGTTCTACCAAACGGAGTTTATTTGAATACAGAGAGCTTATAAACTAACCAAATAAACTATAAGCTAGCTTATTGTGATTGAACAGATTTTCTTATGTAGCCAACTGTAAATTTCATTCTTTGGTGACTTGGGACTTTCGTGACTTGGAAGATAATTCATTTTTTTTTTTATAATACATATCCCATAGTTGACAAACTTCATAAAAGATGCATAGTCCAACTTCATCATAAATGATGCATAGCATGCAGGTTTTTGCCCAACTTTGTACTAATCTACATATCCACGTTTTAATTTTATGTTTTCAAGTTTGCTTTACTATTTCTAGTAGATGGTGGCCTTTATTTTGAACTATGGAACTTGTTTTCTAAAACATACTTTTTTTTAACGAGGTTGAATTGCAATTCATGTCATTTTTTTGATGTATTCGTGTATTTTTCCTTGTCAATTTATTTTATTCTATTCCATTTTTTATTTTATCTTTTGTTGGTGTTGTTTTATAATTGTATATAACAAAAAATTAAAACACAAAGTAAATAAAAGCATAAAAAATATACGTTTATTTTAGAACTAAGATTTCTTTATAATAAAATTAAAACTNACAGATATATATGTATATTATTATTGTGCAGTGCATTTTAGGAAATAATTTGAATTTTACAATGTAACCTGATTCACAAGTCATCATAAAGTGGAATTCCCCGACATTCGTTGTGAAATTGTACGTAAACGGTAGCTGCTAACCGGCCGGTTTCAAATAAAAATAACAAGACAAAAGTTATGAAAAACAAAATGACAATGTAACAACTAAGGCTAGATTCATGTCCCGATCAATTAAAAAAGGCTTAATTATAAATAAAACCATGACCTTTTTTAAATTTGCAATTATATGCATTACTTTTAAAGTTGACAAATATATACACCACTTTTACAAATTTTGGCAATTATATGCACCGGGCCTAATTTCGGGTTTTTATTGCTGACGTGGCGATTTTCTGACAATTTCTGTTGATATGAATGCTGATGTGGGGATTTCTGCTGACATGTCGCTGATGTGGGGATTTCTGCTGACATGGCGGTTTACATGGCGCTGAAAAAAATAAAACTTTGTTGGGATTCAAACTTGTAACATCAAGTTATATATTAACATTGTAACCAATACACCAATACAAGTTGTATGTATAATCTAATAGCGTTTAATATAGACATAATACAAGTTACATAAATCAAATTAAATTTCAAAGATAATGTAAATTATATTAAACTAAAATAATAATAATAAAAATATAAATTTATTTAAATGCAGTTTAATCTAAATGCACTATACTATACTAAAATCTATCTTACTTTATTTTTATTTATTTGTATTTAATATTAAATAATTTATTTTATTTATTATATTTTAATTATTCAAATTTTATATATTATTATTATAATTTAATATAATTAACATTATCTTTTAAATTTAATTTGATTTATTCATACCTAGTGACAATATATATTAAACACTATTAATTTTATCACATAATTTTGATTGGTGGGGTGGTTACAATGCCTTCTTGCATCTTTTGAGGTCTTAGGTTTGAACCCCCTCATTGTTAAAATTTTTATTGCCACGTTAGCAGTCACATCAGCCAAAAATTGCCATGTCAGCCACGTCAGCAGCCCAGTCAGCAAAAAATTGCCTCATCAGCTGCCATGTCAACAAGGAAAGCCCGATTTTGGGCCCTCTGCATAGAATTGCCAAGAAAAGAGAAAGTGAAGTATATATTTGCCAACTTTAAAAGTGGTGCATAAAATTTTTATTGCCACGTTAGAATTTTTATTGCCACGTTAACAGTCACATCAGCCAAAAATTGCCATGTCAGCCACGTCAGCAGCCCAGTCAGCAAAAATTTGCCTCATCAGCTGCCATGTCAACAAGGAAAGCCCGATTTTGGACCCTCTGCATAGAATTGCCAAGAAAAGTGAAAGTGAAGTATATATTTGCCAACTTTAAAAGTGGTGTATAAAATTGCAAATTTTGAAAAGATCATGGTTTTATTTGCAATTAAGCTATTAAAAAATAAAAAAGAAGAAAGTATGCAATATGGCCAAATCGTTGGTGCTAAAGTATCAATGAGGTTGTGTGCTATAACAATAACTTATCAAATAAGGTTTCAAATATAAATTATTAGAGTCCCTAATTAAGTTTTAATATTTTACCAATTTAAGGATTGTTTTGGCCGCAAATATGATTTCGGGTGATAAAGTGACATGTTATTCAATAAATTGTAGACAATTGTGAAAGAGAAAACGTCCCAGTATTTCTCAGCCCCACGAGTACGTCAAGTTCTAAAAATTTATAAGCAATTATTTTGTAAATTTTGTCTACTTTATTAGGATAAGATATACAAACAAGAAAAATTAGAGAATATGTGGAAGAATTTTGTATTCGACCTTGCTTGAATGTTTTATGTATGATCATTTGGGTATGTTAAGGGCATGTTAAAGAAGGTTCATTTGCAATTTAATTTGTTTGTTTTGTCATACTCGGTTAAATTCTAATAATTTGATCAAAACAAATACACGCAAAAATTGCATCACCTCAAAATAAATAAAGTTATATCGATTATATAATATAAGTTTCATACATCACAGAATTTGGTTTCCAATAGGCCGTACTACAAATAAATGATGAAATTTCAACGGAAATATATTCCAATAGAATTCCAACGGCTATTCCAATGGATATTTCAATGCTATTATTTCCGTTGGAATAATTTCAACCGAAATTTCAATAAAAATATTCTGTTGGAACGAGTTTTCCATTGGAATTTCCGTTGGGTTTTGACGATTCCAATAGTAGATTTTCCAACGGTGGTGGAAATAAAAATTCCAACGGAAATTCCTACGGTGAAAAGCTGTTGGAATCATCAAATTCCATCTAAAATTCCAATGAAATATACATTCCAACGGAATATTTTCATTAGAATTTCAGTTGGAATCATTCCAACGGAAGCTATATAATTGGAATATCCATTGAAATTTCCGTTAGAATATATTACCATAAAATTTTTCGTTGGAATATAACAATTTTTCTGTAGTGCCGGTAATATGGTTTGAAATGAAATTTTAAAGGTCAAAAGTCAGAAAATAGATAATATGCTCATTAATTTGAGGCTCTAGCAAAATAAGACATGGTTTTATAATTATAAAAAATTATCACTAATTAATTAAAATTGAAAACATTGCCCAACATTACATAAAATTATCACTAATTAAATATTGTAGAAAATGTCTGCTATATCTACTATATAGCCCTAAGAAAAAAATATCATATGTAGCCATTTTATTTTTTCATAGGGGGAAACGGTTTGTCTAACTTGAATTGCTTTAGCTAGTGCCTGTATCTACTATCTACGATTTTGGTCGAACAAAATTTATTTATACTTTCGACACAATAATATTCACGCAACAATAGCGAAAAGAATACATAAGTTTTGATATAATAGTATGTGTTACGATTTTTTTTCTTACTTTACATATGACATCACTTTTAAATGCAACATCCACTAAATTTACACATCACTATAGTACTCGATCATGTTCACATATATAAATGAAAAACAAAAAATATTATAAGGCATACATATAAAAGTTATATTGAAAATCATATGTTAAATAATGAAATTTCACATTTACAAATTTAATCATTAGTAAAAGTAAACAATATAATTATGATAGAGGAAAAACTTGAGTATAGACACTAGTTGGATATCCTACAATTATACATCTATACTTATATTAAAAGGTATACCATTTACCAGATTTAGTATAAAGAAAAGTCAACAACATTTATTGCATTACTATTTCCGTATTATATAATCTATACTTATATAAAAGGAGATTTTATTTACTACATTTACTATCCAGAAAAGTCAACTGCATTAAATGTCATTACTATTTTGGTATTATAATATTTTATTTATTTAATTGATTTATTTATTTGTTTTATTTTAAAAAGGTAAGTATAATAAAAAGACTTTAATAATAAAATAATCAAATACCAAATAAAAATGTATACTTTGACTTATTTGATTATATTTGGTATTTGATTATACCAAATATATTCCTATTTAGTATATACATTAAATACTTACTAAAGTATTTATTTGTTTTATTTGTCAAAGTTAAGTATAGATTTGTTTATATTATCAAATCATAAAAAAATATTAAATCCATATTGTAAAAAAAAAAATCATATAATTTTATAACAATTCTACTACATTATTTAACAATATTTCATTTTTATTATATAATAAAATAATAATTAAATATTATATGTTGAACAACAATAAGTAAAACTGTTGCTTTCTCTTGTATCAAGAGATAAATTTACATGCTAAAATTAAATTTTTATTAGTATAAATGTTTTAGTGAGATAATATATTAATTATTTTACAAGCTAGTCCTAACATGCTCATATTTAATGTTTTAAAAGATGTAGGAAAAAAACTTATAATAACTCTATTGTTTTTTAGACTTAAACGTTGATTAAAAGAGGTAAAAATTCCTAATTTTTTAGACTTAACGTTGATTAACACCATAGATTGAGAGTTTATATTTAGTAAAATTCCTAATTGTAATCCTTCACACCTTAATTTGATAGGTGGGCATCTCTCTAGTCCCGAATAAATGCTCATTTTTCTAATAATGTATGTATCCCATATCTATTACTATATAATACGGAGAAGAAAAATTATTTGATCAATTCAAAAATAATCATTTCGTTTTCCCGCTTCAATATAGTGTTTTCCCGCTTCTTCAATTCGTAAAATTTTTTTTTGAATTTTTTCAGCCCATGCAATTAGGTAACCAATCAAATCGAATCTTTTAGCATTCAATTTGGTAAGGTGTTCCGATTTTAGCATTCAAATCCGATTTCACTTCCTTTTTTTATGCCAATCAATCCGATTTTTTTGGTTGTTTCAAAATTTGTTTAGATTTATATTTTTATTTTATTAATATATTTGAAAGAGAATCAATAAATGTTTATCATAACTTTTATTTTAAAAATAAATTTGAATAAGCATACCTTTTACTTTATATGAAATTCAAAATTACATATTTTAATATATTAATAAACGTTTATTATTTATTTTTTCCTTATGTGATATAATAGAATTTCGGTATTAAATTTGTAAATTCAAACATTTAAAGGAAAAGATTCCAAACAATTTTTTTTGGGTAAATTTTATTTTATCTTGGTTTTCATTATCACATTTCTAACAAACTAATTAGTATTATATTTTTTTATCTACATTATCTAACTGATTTTTTATTATACAATTAATATAATATCTTAACAAATTTATCATTTGTCTAACCGGATTTATCTCTCTAACAAACTTGTCAATTTTTTTAAAATTAAAATGGTATGATTATTCTTATGGAGATACTTATCAATATATTAAATATTTAGAAACTTTTTTTAAAAAATGAGTTATCCCTCCTTTTACTTTATTTGAAATTCTGACTTATATTTTTAAATATATTATTATTTATTTTTTTACATGTAAATATTTATTATTTATTATCTAAGTGATAAATATTATTGATTTATCTCTTTAATAAATATTTATTATTTATTTTTTTCCTTACGTGATATAATGTAAATTTGGTTACTAGATTTTTAAATTCAAACATTTAGGAAAAAACCACGAACAAATTTTTTGGTTGCATTTTATTTTATTTTAACTTTCATATAATCACAATCCTAACAAACTAATTAGTATAATATTTTTTTACCCATTTTTATATAAGCGGATTTCTTAAAATATAATTAATATAACATTTTAACTATTTACTCATTTGTATAACTTGATTTAACTCATTATCAAACTTGCCAAATTTTTTTTGAAATTAAAAAAAAAATTGGAAGATTTTTATTTGTAAAATAATAAAAAATAGCTTTACTCTAAAGTCTGGATTATTTCCATTATTTTTTGTACGTTAACAATCATATATTTTGGATTATTGATTTAAAAAAACAAATCAAAACCGTAAGGTTTAATAATATTTCTTAAATAAAAAATATTGTATAAAGAAAAGTATTTAATATTATATATTTTTCATTGATTGTATTTATTTTATTTTCATAATAGACGAGATGTGAAAAATATAAATAATTGAAAAATATAAATAATTATATCTAAAATAAAGTCTAAAAAATGTTTAAAATATGAACTCTTCCATGCATCGCACGGGATATACACTAGTTATTATACTATACAGTTGACAATAAAATTCAAGTTGTCATAAAAGATTGCGACAGTTAACAATGGTAGGGCTACATAAGGTTGACTTCTTGGCCAGTTAAATTCAAGTTGTCATAAAAGATTGCGACAGTTAAAAGTTGCAATTTCCTCGAGATAACGCATTGGTGAAATTTCAGCACAAATTTAAAGTTTAAACCATGGATATGTAGCCTTTGATTATTTATAAAAGTTGGGCAAAACCTCCATGGGCTACTATGAGAGTGATCCTCTGGCCGTGGGCCGACGGATTTGAGGCGGCAAAAACAACTCAAAGCCCATATCCTCCAAAACAAATTTTCTGATTGCTGCAGAACTAAAAGCCCAAGACTTGCTTTCATTAAACCAAAAAAAAAAAAAATGCAGCAAATAACCAGGCATGAAGAAGAAAGGAGCTAAAAAGTATAATAATGCAAATGAGGGAACAAGTTATTATCATATCCAAGCTTCAGTCTTTCACTACCACAATTCTCCAACAGTACAAATTATATCATCCCCTCCAAAAGAAATATTGGCCAGAGAATTTTTAACACAAGAGCCTCTCTCATAATCTCATCAAGCTTTTCTTTCTAGCATCGATCTTCTTTTTGTCTGATTGAGCCTTACTCAGCCCAGCTTCCTTCTTCAGGGCAGTGGCGGTGGCAGCCGGAGGAGCCGCTTTCGAGCCACCGGCAGATGAATGAGTGGCGGCCGTGTAGTCTTGACCGTTTTCCGGTTTTGTTGCCAGTGGGGAGGGAGGAACCTGGCTTGAGAGGGGATGGTTTTTCTGATCGGGACACTTTGTCGAGGCGTTGACTTGGTCAACATTTAGGGCAGCGGTTGACTCAGAGATGGGGCCCGTTTTGAGCTTTGGCTTCGGCTTGAGGGCGTGTATTCCCGTGTATAGCCTGGTTCGAATATGGTTATTCAAATAAATAGTAAAAAAACCCATATCAGTTCACATGAATAGCGAAAGGCTATAAACTTATATTTGAAACTCGATTTAACAACAAACTACAATCAAAATACGACACCATTTTATAACAGAAAAGAGCACGAAAAAAAAAAAACGAAAAAAAAAAAAGGTATCAAGTATGAACAACACCTAGCATGTCTGGCATACTCCTCGTAATCTTCGAGCAGCATCTTGCCAGCTTGTTCATTTAAAGCAGATTCTGGAAATGGTTCGATCAATAAGCATCTAATCACCTGTCCCCATTAACAGAAGCAAATGAAGAAGTAAGAAAATATTACCCTACAAAAGAGTGTTTTGATGCTTAATACCTAAAGATTCAGCAAACATAAGCCGTTGATGTACAAAAATGAAATTTGTATTCGACAGAACATTAATTGTAGAAAAGTGAACACCAATTGTCTCACAATTAAGACGTGGCGTAAGCCAAGAGTTGGGTTCCAATCTTTCTTCAGAGCATTCACACAGATTTCGCCATTGGTTGCAATATTAGGATGAAAAATCTTGGTCAGGAAATATCCTGAGGGAAAAAACACAACTAAGATTAGAAGTTCGTACACTTTAAACACAATCCGTAACACATCAGCCCAGTTATAAAGGACTACATTTTTGCCTCATATCATAAGAGAGAAAAATGATAACATTTAAAAGAAAAAAGACATAGACATAATTATGATTAAAAATGTTTTAAGATATTAAGGATATGGACTACTGATAGTTGAAATAGGATCCAAAAGAAAGAGAATCGGATACGTAAATATATCCTTTCTATTTCAGTCACTTGCCCAAAGAAAGAGATACAGATAATTAAATATGGGCTTACAAGTGGAAAATAATGGTAAAAAATGATATGCATTTATTTATTAAGATCAATGTTCACAGTAGGGTCACAAACCTTTAGGTGGAGATTGTGGAAAATCATGAGATAATATCAACTTCATGCGAAAAACCCCATTTTCATATGGCGTTCCAGCTGCAAGAATACAGAAAATCAACCGCAAAAAGAATGTGGTGTCTTATATTCTATAAATAGCTAAAGGTTACCAAAAGAAAAGAAAAGAAAAAAACGAAAAAGTACCTGGGCCATCAATATCAGCATATATAACCGAAAAATTATCATCGTTCACCCCAACTTTAATGCCCTCCGGAGGGGTTTCATCAAGATTCTTCAGCTCCTTTGCCAGCTGTTTTATGACATTTGGAGGGAGATTCTCGTTTGTTGCCTAAACCATTTAAACAAATGGAAAGACATAAGCTAATGGAAAATCTTCAGGTGTGAATTTATACTAATAAAAAACATGCATCAAAATCTCTTTACCATTCAAGTCAAAATGTACAAACATATAAGGTTAATAAATTTCTGTTTTGCGTTTTCGCAAACAGATGATATAATGAAAATTCAGTATTATTTCCCTCAGTATAGTTTTTCTGACTAAGACAACATATTGGCCAAGTATTCTCCCACGTTGCATATAAGGAAATGACAAGTAGCTGACAAATATAGCATGTCGCATTACCATAAACCCGTGCAGCAGAACAAAAAAGCTAACAGCGAACTCCTTTATTCTTTCTTTAAACGAGAAAGATACTATCAACTGCTGCTTCAAGATTTGCAGTTACCTCAAGTGACGAGTTTATGATAGATACGCCACAAAGAGGATCCTGCAGAGAAACAGAATGGGCACTTCAAACTTCAGATCACTCAATCAAATGATTCCGATTTTTCTAAATATTGCTATTGGGATATAAATTATGATTAAAACAGGTTTATCAGCAATTCAGGAAAACAACTTGTTATTTTACACCAAACTCAACATACCGAACTCAACTTTTCCTGATGTTAATCCATTAGTTATATAAAATGATTCCATCTACTTTCTGACTCATATCCTTAACAATTATCATTCATAACAGTAACCACTTATTTCAGAAAGATGTTATTTTGACAAGTCCTAGTTAGATTTCCTTCAAAATGCTTATAGCATTATACATGTAAATTAAAAAAATTGTGGGACAGCTATCCAACCAAAACCGATTGACATCTTGGGCAGATCATAATTCAGTTTTACCTAGGCAATGAAATTAGCCAATATCCCCAAAATCTGAATCAAATCATACAATTACACACGAAAAATGTAAATCCTCAGTTATTTACCATTCCACAAAGATGAATAAACTACTACAAAACAAAATGAACAACATTAAATTATAATTTCTCGATTAGAGACCATAAAGGTGGAATCTTGTTCACTGAACATTGCAATAACGACAAGAATTTCGTACATCATAAGGAAAAGCAACATTTTTTGGATCAAGAATCAGATTAGGTAAAGTATAAACCCTAATTTGAACAGCTCAAGAAGCTACCTCAATTCACTTAAAAAAAAAGGAGCAATAAAAATGTCCCAGAAAAAACGAAAGAAGAAGGTAATCCATAAAACACACTGATATGATAAAATTCAAGAAACCCATAATTGCACTAATAAAAACAGACATAAAAAGGGAACATCCCAAAGAAAATTACTTTGAATGCTCAAGAAATACAGTTTTATAAGACA